TCTCCGCAATTTGCGGAGAGGATGTAGGACTCGGGAGCTATAATAGGTTTGGTAACCAGGCTAGTGGATGGCTGCTTTATCTTGCTTTCGTTTGCAGCTCTTGATAATACCTCACGGTCGTACATGTATATATGCGAAATTTTGTCCCCTGGTACGTTAGTGTGATGGACGTTTTGTCTTGATAGCTTGGTTCATTTGAGTACAGGGTTCCAGTATAATCGCATTCTGTCAAACACGCATGTGTGTGTACGTGTCCATTCGGGAAAAATATTACCCTTAGAAATTCAGAAGCATCTTTGGTAGCGGAGAGGAGAAAATGGATATGCTTCTCTCTTCATATACATATACGGGATGCTATTGTACAGTCCATACACAGTCTAGTAATCAACATTATTTGGGTCTAAAAGCAATATGGAATATGTTTCTATTACCAGCCAATGTTATTCATTCGTCCCCACAAGTACTGTTGAAAAAGTGATAGTCTTCGTGTAGATTGAGAAATAGGACATTGACTTCTGAGTGTCCTTGCTACGTTTAGAATTTGTCTTCACTTATTTGCATATCAATCAATAGTTCGTACTTATAAACCTGCTTTTCTGACAACCCTCCAGTGTCACTGACTAAAGGTAGTTGGTGCCATCTGAAACGTTTGTCCGTTTCCAAAATCATATCCAGTCGCTTGAATGAGTAGCTGTTTCTGGCGTTTTTTGCTACGTTGTCTTTTTGTCCAATGAAGTAGAATTCGCATTCTTTCCACGTGTACTTCCCACCAGGGTTTCTACCCAACATTGCGACATGAGGTCTTCACACCCTTTATCCGGACAGTCCCATTGTCGTGGATAGTACCTCCCAAGTTGTATACAAGCTGTGTATAATGCGTATTCTTTGGAAAAGCTGGGAGTGAGCTATGCCAAACTTCGAGTAGGCTTGCGCACGTAGTCCCATGACAACTTACTTCTTTATGAAACGAGTTTAAACTGCCAACACAAGAAATACAAGTCTAATCTTTGTCGAGGAATGAGCAACCCTTGCTTCTTTGGCGTTGTAATCCATGTACATCATTAATATACAATACGTACTAGGAATTTAGGTCAGGGGCAAGCAATAAACAATGAAATCAGTGTCATTGATGATGTTTAAAAACAGCAGACCGGGATTGATAATCGGTTACGTTTTCTGCGTGATCAACTGAACGTAATATATAGGTTAGAAGAAGTTGAAAATAATGGCTAGAATACATGCCTCGTACAATGCCTAAGCAAAGATTTGATTTTTCAAGGCCACAATTAGCATTCATTGTAAACTTTCATGTATACTTGTACCTTAAATAGTGATACTGCAGTTCGAAAGAGAACACTGTCTCATTGTCCTAACTCTAGAAAATACATGTACGGCCTGGGGTGTGTATACAATTGTATCCGCTAGTGAATGGGCTGTACGTAGCAGTACTAGTACACATCTATTCTTCCAAAGTTTTTCGTGTTAAGATTTGCTTTGGAGGTTCTATTCTGCGTGTTGTTTATTTGCATGAGAGACTATTATCATAAGCTTCTTGGTCGTGGTCCAGTATGTGCATAGAAGCCTTGTGTTGTAAGGCAACCAAGGCCAATGTAGTTCTGAGAGGCATTGTCGCACTTATAGGCCTGATAATCATGTGATGTGGGGTGAAGTACACAGTGTGTCTCTTGTAGTGAGAACTTGTTTCCCTCTACCAGGCTTCGGGAGGCTGATGAAAAGAGTAGAAATTGTCCACATAAAGAGATAACATGCCAGGAGAGTTAGCCCGCTAGAGAGTACATTTTGCCGCATCCGTGGGTCGCAAAATGTACCCTCTCTGGCTGGCTAACTCCCCTGGCACACTATTCCCTTTATTTCGGCCAATTTCTACTATTTTTTCAGCGATCCTTGGTGCCTTGTAGAGGCTTAGAACTTGTACATCATTTTCCTTATCAGTTGCAAAACAATGTCAGAAGGAGCCTTCCTACGCAAGTGACTGCCTATTCACAGATTGCACAAGTATATTAACAGGTTGCTAGCGCATCATGCTTTAGACTCTTCAGCGTACATTTCGTGAATACTGTCTGAACGTTTAATTTCCATGATCTTCGACATGTAAGTTTCTAATACCTGTATGACATCACTGCTGTCCTTTCCTTCAGTTAGTTCTCTTTTCACTTCGTTAATTAAGAGACTGTCTTCCCGTTTATTCACTGTCCAGACAAACACACCATCCGGTTTGTCGTACAATGTCATTGTGGGCAACTTCGTGTTCCATTAGATGCACTTGCAAAGTACATTTGTAAGTGGTGGTAAGAGTTAAGTAGTAGATGACATAACCCCGAAGTTGTCGCTTGTGTCCACTGTGCTGCAGAAAAGAAGTGTCATAATGGAGTTGAAAGGGTCTTCTCTTCTGTACGATCTAAAAAAAAAAACAACTTCGTGTCCAATTAAATGTACTTGCAAAGTAAACCTACGAGTTGTTTGTAATACTGATTGAATTACTAGGTGACATCACACCCAAGTGTTAGAATGGGGTTGAAAAGGTATTCTCTTCTGTACAGTTTCGGAGAGAATTCCGTTTCCTGTGTATTCATAGATGTACAAAACACACAAGTAGATTAGTCAAACACCGTTATCCTAAGTACTACTGTAACCAATTAGGTACACTTGTAATTATGGATCAAAGTTTAATTTACTGATGAGATAAACTGTAATTTCGTGTCCTCAGCTACAAAGACTCAGAATCCTTATTGAATAACCTTTTCCTGCCAATTGATAAAGTCAGGTTAATAGATAAATAGATTAGTATACACCGTCATTTTAGGTATTAAAGCGCATTCAAGTACACCCATTAAAGTGATATTAACGGTTTAAGTCCAAGATAACTAGGTCCAGAACCTATTATTTACTCCAGACGTTACAATGAAAAGCTGTCCAAGTTGATTTTACTTCCCCTTCCACGCCATCGAGTTTGGGTCATTTTCTTGGTACCGAAGTGACCAATTAAATGCGTTGGTAATTGACCATCGGATGGCATTAACGCGAACATCCGAGTTCAACAAAGAAACAGTGTCAGAAAGGACCTGAGCTTTTCTTCACGAGTTCGTGTTTTCCTTTTCCTGCCTTTTCACAGATCAAACATTCATACTGAATGTGACTCACACACCGTCTCCCAAGTACATTTGTGGAAAATTATATGCTCTTGTTAGTGTAATTATAGTTATTAGCGGCATCAAACCTGTTGTGTAATGTCTTATGTGTGGGTCACGACACCGGCTATAGCTGCCTGTGACCCACCTGTGTTAGAAAAAGCAATTATTTAGAAAAGGCAATCCTAGACAAGGTTCTGTAAAAAGACATTTGTACTGGCCTGGTTCTGGCTGAACATGCCGGCAATAGATAGATAGTCCCACGTGTATTGTCTTGTTGCAATTGTAATAAAGTAAATCAAAACCTAACTTATCGTCCACATACATTGTAGGAACCGCCTAGTTCTCTTCAAAACTGGCCATTTCCAAAATCCTGATCCTGTCTTACTACGATGCTAAACAGAGGGATCAAATTTTCAACGACCATTGTGGCCTTCATCAGGATACGTAATGACCAATCACATCCGAACGTAAATCCACGAGGTTATACCTTTTGTGTTGGAACAAAGTTCAGCATCGTACTATGATTACATGTACTACCAACACAAATAAATATCCATGATAATCCTATCTTATCATAGACGAAGCAAGCACAATTATAGGTTAGTCATTCATCGTCATTTTGGGTACTTGATTGCATGTATCTGTTGTATCAAAGGCTTTAACATGTCATGCCAATGTGAATAAAGCTGAATCTGAATCTTTACGTACTACGAAAAACAGGCAGGTGTCAGAAAAGATACAACTACATTGTTATGGATTCAATCCTTGGTTGACCGTACGGCCACTTTCGCTCACTGTAAATACTAGTATATGTTAAGGAACTGTTTTGATCGGAATTAACAGGTTTTAGCTCTTACGCAGCCTCCCAAATTTTCTCCCTTATACAGTTAATGTTTAAAGTTAGAACGTTTGGTCCAGCACAAAAAGCTCTCT